TGTGCGCGTGTGCCTGTGTGTTCGTGCGTGTGTGTGTGTGTGTGTGTGTGTGTGTGTGTGCGCTTGTGCGTTTGCGTGAGTTTCTGTTTGTATGAGTGGGTGCGCGTGTGTCTGGTATGTGTGCGTGTGTGTGTGTGTGTGTGTGTGTGTGTGTGTGTGTGTGTGCGTGCGTCTGTGTGTGTATGTGGGTATGGGCGTGCGTGTGGGGTGCGCGCGCATGAATGGGCGCGCGTGGATGAGTGTGCGCGCGCGTGTGGATGTGTGTTTGTGTCTGTGCTCGTGTGTGATTCTGTGTGCGTGCGTGCGCGTGCGTGTGCGCGCGCGCGCCCGCGGTGGCGCCGTGGTCCGCGCGCCCCCCCCCTTCTCTCTCTCTCCCTCTGCCTCGGGCGCACCGCGGGGGCGGAGTGGATGGAGTGGGGGGGGGGCCGGCCCCGGAATGGCGCAGCGCCTCCCCCCTCCGGAGCGCCGGCGGAGAGGGCGGGGGGCGAGGCGCGCGTGGGCGGCTTGTGTGTAGGGGTGTGTGCGCCTGTGTGTATGTATGTATGTATGTATGTATGTATGTATGTATGTATATATATACATATATATATACACACATATATATGATTATGTGTGAACGCGTGCGTGCGTGCGTGTCTGTGTGTGCGTGAGTGTGTATGTGTGTGTGTGTGTGTGTGTGTGTGTGTGTTCGCATGCTTTCCTACGCGTGGTTTCATGTTTCACTGTATGTATGTGTTTTTAGGTGTGTTGCGTGTCTGTTGTGTGTGTGTGTGTGTGTGTGCTCGTGTGTGCTCGTGTGTGCGTGTGCTTGTATGTGTGAATGCATCTTCGCTACTCGGTTTCTCGACCTCGCGCCGAACATTTTCAGGGTCGGATGGGGACATGGGAAATACCTTGTTTGAAATGTCTAAGAAGATCATATCTGAAGCTCTCTGCTTTTTTCCGAGCACTCTCGAGGGTGCGAGGAGCTCTACGAGGTCCCCGGTGGAGCTCTTCGGCAATATGAGCTTAGAGCAATTCGGGCGCAGGGTGGAGCTAGTTGGCCGACCCGACCTTAAGAGACAATGTGATAACTTGGGGTCGGTTTTTTCAATCTTTCTGCAAAATTTGAAAGTTCGTTTTCAGAACCGGTATTTTTTCCACCTGTAGTGGGTTATGCCGCGTCTGCCAGTTAATTCTGACGGTCATAGCTGCAATATTACTATCAAAAGACTTGAGGGAACTGTCGGCCGTTTCGAGCATCTTCACACGCGTTGACAGTTTGCTGTACTTCTCTCGAGATGTAGGAGATTTACGGCGCTGCTTTTGGCAGAAACCGATTGAGAACCATCAGGCGCGTTTGTCTGTTCCATCGAGATATATTCGCGAAATTATTTGTATTATGCGAGTGATCTTGAGAGGTGCTGGCGGATTCCCTTACGCATATGAACCGATCCAGTATGGCCCGACGCGTTCTTTCCTCGCATCGATCGGTCTGAACTCTGTCTGGCACTCGAGATGGGGCCTCGAAGCGAAAAAACTGAAAAAAAACACATTGTTCGAGTTCTTTCCGTCAGGCTTGAGAAAGTTTTTTTCGCATGCTCCGAGCGCCGCGCGAGAACAGAGCTCTACGAGGCTCCCGGCGGTCACCTGGTTGACGGTTTACCGCCGGATCCCATTGGCCCAGCCGACCTTAAGAGACAATGTGACGACTTGGGGTCGGTTTTCCTTTCTTTGCGTAAAATTTGAAAGTTCGTTTTAAGAACAAGTATTTTCCCGCCTATAGCGGGTTATGCCGCGTCTGCCAGTTAAAATTTCAGGTCCGTAGCTGCAATATTACTATCAAAAGACTTGAGGGAATCGTCGACCGTTTCGAGTCATCTTGACGCGCGTTGACGGTTTTCTGGATTTAACTAGAGAAAAAAGGCAGCTACAGAGCTGATACTTACAGAAAATAATTCAGAATGATCAGGCGCGTTCGTCTGTTCCATCGAGGGGTCTGAACTCGCTCTGCCAGTCGAGCTAGATCCACGAAAGTATTCGTATTATACGAATAATTTTGACGAGTGCTGTGGGTTTCTCTTAACTGCAGATCTAGAAGAGCTAAAGAGCTGGTACGCATATTAACCTATCCAGTATGACCTGCCGCATTCTTTTCTCGCACCGAGGAGTCCGAACTCGGTCTGGCACTCGAGCTAGGTCCACAAAACGAAGATGGGAAATGTTTTTTACGCTCGAGAAAGAAAGCTTTTTCCGAGTGCTCCGAACAGCGCCGCATGAGAAAAGAGCTCTACGAGGCTCCCGGCGGTTGCCTGGTTGACGGTTTACCGCCGGATCCCAGTTCTCGGAGAGCTCTCTGAGAGCTAGAGGGTTTTAGACTTGGAACCGGCGGTAAACCGTCAACCAGGTTACCGCCGGGAACTTCGTAGAGCTCTTTTCTTGCACGGCGATCGTCGGAACACATGAAGAAAGCTTCTGGAGCGAGAAACAAAAAATTAGAAAAATCACGTTTTTCTGTTTTTATCCAACGTCGTTCCTTCAAGTGTTTCAATAGTAATGCTGCGCATATGGGCCTGCAAATTTTACTGGCGGACGCGCCATAACCCACTGCAGGTGCGAAAAATCTGCTTTCTCAAAATGAATTGTCAAATATCTTTCGAATCTTAGCAAAACTGACCCAAAGTCACCAGGTTGTCCGTTCTGGTCGGGTCGGCCAACTAGCTCCAGCCCGCGCCGGAATTCCTCTAGCTCGTCGATGCCGAAGAGCCCCACGAGGTATTCGAAGCCTGACGGTAGTGGCGCCTGCCAGCAGCCGATCTTCGCCGGTCCAGGATTCTCGCAGCGCCTCGCCCGTCCAGGCAGCGGGTCCGCGAGAGCTTCCGGCAAGCGTCCACGCGCGCCTGCGCGCGTGCAGGCACGCGTGGAACCGTTCCTGGCAGCGCTTCAGAAGCGCTGCAGGGGAGCCCCCCGGAGCCCCAGAAGAGCTTCACGAGAGCGTCGGAGAGCTCGCCAGGAAGAGCTTTTCAGTGTGTGTTCTCTTTCCTCTGCGGGTTTTCGACGCTATCACGTAGAGCTCGTCGTCAACGATGAGCTGGAGGAATTCCGGCGTGGTAGAGCTAGAACCTTGGAGCTCTTCGTACCTCGTAGAGCTCTTCGGCATCGATGAGCCAGAAGAATTCCGGCGCGGCGCGGAGCTAGTTGGCCGACCCGACCAAAAGAAACAATGTGGCACATACCTCGTAGAGCTCTTCGTTATCGATGAGCTAGAGGAGTTCCGGCGCGGAGTGGATCTAGTTGGTCGACTCGACCAGAACGGGCACTGTGACAACTTTTGGTGAGTTTTGCAAAAAAATTAAAGATATTTGAGCATCTATTTCGAGAAAGCAGATTTTTCACACCTGCAGTGGGTTAAGGCGCGTCTGCCAGTGAAATTTCCAGGCCCCTAGGTGCACTATGACAAAACACTTGGAACAACGGACTTTGCATGACAACTGAAAACTCACGATTTTCTGAGTTTTTGGGCTCTCGTTTCAGAAGCTTCCTTTATGTGTTCGGAAAATCGCTGTGCAAGGAAAGAGCTCTGCGAGGTGCCCGGCGATAACCTGGTTGACGGTTTACCGCCGGCTCCCAATTTGGGTCGGTTTTCCTAGGATATTTGACAATTCATTTTGAGAAACCAGATTTTTCGCACCTGTAGTGGGTTATGCCGCGTCTGCAAGTCAAATTCTGAGGTCCGTAAGTGCAGTATTTACTATCAAAACACTTGGAGCAACCGACGTTGGATGAAAACAGAAAAACGTTTTTTTTTTTTTTTTTTTTTTTTTTTTTGTTTTTCCCCCCCCCCCCCCTAGTTTTTCGTTTCTCGCTCCAGAAGCTTTCCCTATGTGTTTCGAGGATCGCCGTGCAAGGGAAGAGATCTACGAGGTTCCCGGCGGTAACCAGATTGATGATGAGAAAAGCCCTCTCTAGCTACCCTGTGCTCCGTTTGGGAGTCTTAGGGCTCAGCTGTCACAGCTGTCCGCGCCCTGACTCAAACTCAAAAACCAGATTGACGGTTTACCGCCGGTTCCCAGTCATTGATGAGCTAGAGGAATTCCGGCGCGGCGTGGATCTAGTTGCCGACCCGGCGCGGGCGGACAATGTGACATTTTTAGACCGGTTTTGGTAAGATTTGAAAGATATTTGACCATTCATTTTGAGAAACCAGATTCGCACCTGTAGACGGATGTGAGGGCCTCTGCGTCTTAATATGAGCTCTGTGGGCGCAGTTCTATTATCCAATATTTGGAGCAACCAACTCTATGTCGAAATCGCACAAATCAATATTGATTTGTTTTGAGACATGCCCCTTGGAGCTGGTACCTCGCAGAGCTTTGATGGTGACAGAGCTTGAGGAATTACGCGACAGAATGGAGCTAGTTGGCGAAATTTCGAAAAGAGACGCGATCATACCTTCCGCGGTCTGGCTCAGCCGATTTTGCAGTTCTAACCATTCGTTTGGGCTGATAATTGTGCAGATCGAAGCTTTACATTACAGAAAATACCCATGAAATTCGAAGCTGATTCGCTCGACAAATTCTTCTGAGCGAAGCCAGAATCTGATCTCAGATTGACATGAAACAAATGAAGATTTAAGGTTTTTAGAACTTCTACTGCGAAGTGCTCTGCTTCGATTCTGGGCGCTCTCACGCAAAATATATTTGACCATCTATTCTGGGAAACAGATTATTACGCTGAGCATTGGCATATAAGCTTCTCAGAAGAGCTCAGCTCTCCCGGGGGAGTTTTACGATCGGTTGACTTTCCGGAACCGACTTCATATCGACATAAAACATGCAAAATTCACGATTCTAAGAAAATCTTCTGTCTGCTTCGATTTTGAGCACTCTTACGCAAGTCAGGAGCTGCGAGGTTCCCGGCGGTGACTAGGTTGACGGTTCACCGCGCCATCTAGACGGCTGAAATCAGTCTGCTATCAGCGCTAGGGCTGAACAAATATTTGTTCTTATTAATTCTTTGAGGATAGTACATGACAAGGAAGCTCTACGAGTCTCCCGGCGGCAATTCTGAGGAAGAGGAGTGGGTTGAGGACACTTGTGGAACACAGACTGATATGGATGCTGTTGAATTGGCTGGCAACTCTTTGTGTTCGCAGTGTTCCGATTGTGGGACTCAGACAGATCCCTGTGTTCACATTGCGTGTGGGACTCAGACCGATCTTTGTGTTCTCTTTGTTGGTGAGGAGGAGAAGGAGGAGTGTCATCGAGTGCGCGCTGATCAGGGTGATGCTTCTGCCGTTGGGAGTTCCTGTGCAGTCGGGAGTTCCACTGTTCGGAGTGCAGTAGGAAGTTCCACAGTTCGGAGTTCCGCTGATGCAGTTGTTGATGCAGTTGGGAGTTCAACAGCTTGGAGTTCTGCAGTTGGGAGTACCGCGGTTTGGAGTTCAGCTGATGCTGTGGCATCGAACCCTGGCTGCAAGGACGAGGAGGAGGAGGAGAATGTTCATAGTGAAGCAGTTGCTAAGATGGAGCAGGAGGAGGTGGCTGAGGAGGATTTTGTTCATGCATTTTCCCTGGCTTATAGCGATAGTAACGAGAGCACCCGCGTGTACCTGGAGAAGGCGCTAAATCTTCGTATCAGAAAATACAGATTTGCACGGACGACTGCTACGGACGACGTCGTGTCAACGGTGCATGTGCCAGATTTCCTTTCTGAATTTCGAGCTTGCGATGCGGAGTTTTCTCCGAGCGTGCAGGCTGATTCTGATAGCTGCGCCTTGTCGGGAGCGTCCCAGGGGTGTCTGAATCGTCCCGTCACGCTTAATGAGGTATCGAATCCTGGTTCTGATGCGTCTGTCCGTGTCCGGATGGACGTCTCCAAGACAGTGCGCCAGTCGAATGAGAAAGCTTTTTCGGAAGTAATGCGTCAATCGCTCAAGTTCCCGAGGTCGTGCACTGGTCGTGCCCGTGCTACTGCGCGGCTCCTGTGCGATCGAGATAAGGCAGGTGCACTGGCGGCCGAATTCATGAGCCTGGGACGGGAAGAGTCGGATGCAGAGTTCGAGTCCGACACGCTGGGTCATTTGCAGTGGGAGTTATCCCGTCTTGGTCTTCTGAATCCAAACCAGCTGCGGTCTGTTTCCAGTGGTATGATTCTGTATGCGCTGCAAGAACGGGATGGGCCTGGTCCGAAGTTTTTGGATTTGATGTTTCACAATCTCGTGCGTACTTCAGGATTTCTCGCGAGTGGCCGTCGTGCGGAATTGAACAGAATCAGAGCCCTTTGGAATGATATGTTTGTTGCTATGGAGCGGGACTTCCTGCGGGAGGAGAGGATGATGAGGAGTGGATTTCGGCTATGGTTGGGGAAGGTGTGGGAAGGTGCTGCAAGATTTTCTTTGGCCAGGTTCCGAGCGCACCAAAGCCGCCAGGTGATGGCGGTTCTTCAAGCGTTTACAAGGCCGCTTTGGAGGAGCATCGACAAACACATCTGCAGAACGAGCAGTGTGAAGCTACGCTTGACATGATTTTTCGTTTAAATGAGACCCAGAGGGACCTGCTGGGAACGTGGATGAAAGACGAGCGCAATCTGAATGATCCCGAACGTCTCCAGTGTAGTTTCAATCTTTGTCATGTAACTTGTCATAGGAAACGGAGTGGAAGGTTGACCTGGGAGGAAGATGAGGCGATGACGTCGCTCATGACTTTTTTATTTCCCTCGGCGTAATTTCTTTGTTTGGGGTACGCACCATTCTCTTACATTCTTTGGTTTGTGCATGGTTTTTCTTTGATGGAGATATCGTAACACGGTCGGTTGTCGCATCATCGATGTGCCTCTGCGGTTTCGACATACTTCGGACTTTGTGTTTGCGTTGACTCTTGCCATGCTGTGTGTGTGTGTGTCGGGCATGCGCGCGTGTTGGTATAAGAGCTCCGCGTGCTTTTCACTTTGTTCGGAATACGAGTTTCGCATATGCCCACTCCCGCTCAAAGAGTGGTGGGTGTCTTGCCTGACTCTGTATGCCGTCCGTTTTCCTGCTTGCGACTGGGCCTGACAGCTCGCATAGTCGTCCGCAAAGACAGCAAAAAACCAAGGTTAACGGTTAACCGCCGGCGCCCAGTTGGCAAGAAAAATCTCGACGGACCTTTTGGTGACTGTTGCTCGATTGAAAATTATGTTCTCGAAATTCAGAAATTTGTTAGAGCTCTTGCCGTCTCAATCGCAGCTCGATCCAGTACCTTTTACTGTCAAGAAGCGTCCCGGCGGGATCGGTTGTTTCGAGTGATCTTGACAGGTTCTGAAGCATCTATAGGTCTGAACTCGGTCTGCTACTCGAGCTAGGTTCGCGAAGTTATTCGTATTCTACAGATTTTTTCGAGATGATGATGAGTTTCTTCACTGAACTCGAGCTGCAGATGAGCTTGCGAGCTCTTCGACAGCAATCGGAAGGAAATCATCAGACGCGCTAGTATGAAGTATCTAGACGCTTGAATCGGGTCTGTTAAGAGCGCAGAAGCCTAACAACTAGTCATATTCTGCAATTTTCCTGATGATGGAATGAGTTCTCTTGACTTAACTCGAGCTGTATGAGCTCCAGAGCTCTTAGGCACAGCAATCAGAAGAGACTCATCAGGCGCGCTTTGAAAGTATCTAGACGCCTGAACTCAGTCTGCTATCGGCGCTTGCGCTGAACAGCTGTCCATACTCTGCTAATTTCTTGGAGATGGTATTGGTTATCTTGATTTTCTCGTGCTGCAGATGAGCTACAGAGCTGTTCAGCACAGCAATGGGAAGGGAATCGTCAGAGGCGCTAGATAAATGTATCTAGACGCCTGAAATCAGTCTGCTATCAGCGCTCGGACTGAAAAACTTTTTTTTCTCTGCTAATTCTTTGGAGATAGTATCTGGCAAGGAAGCTCTACGAGCCCCCCCCCGGCGGTGACCAAGGTTCGCGGTTTACCGCCGGCGCCCAGTTCGGCACAGCAATTCGAAGAAGGTCATCAGGAGCGCTCGTTGCAAGTATCTTCATGCTTGAAATCGGTCTGCTACCAGAGCTGGAACCAACGCGCTATTCGTGCTCCGGCTCCTCGTCCTCTTCCGTCTCGTCCTCCGAGATCACAGCTGTTCGGCGCAGCGATTTGACGAAGATCATCAGGGGCGCTCGTTGCAAGCATGTACATGTTTGAAATCGGTCTGCTTCCAGAGCTGGAGCCAACAACTATTCGTACTCCTGCTCCTCGTCCTCTTCCTTCTTCTTCTTCTCCTCCTCATCGTCCTCCTTCATCAGCTCCTTTTTTTTTTTCTCCTCCTGCTCCTTCTCTTCCTCCTTTTCCTCATCTTCCTCCTCTTCATCATCATCATCGTCCCTCTACTCCCCCTCCACCCTTCCCGCTCCTGGTCGTCGCCCCCGTTTTGGTCGTCCCCCCGCTGCTCCTCCGCCTGCCCCCCCTCCTCCTCCTCCTTCCTCAGCCTCCTCCATCTCCTTCTCTTGCTTGCTCCTTCTTCTCCTCCATGTCCCCCTCCATGAAACCGCGCCCTCGCGCGCGCGGCTTGCGAGATTGCCGCGCCCGCATTCCATTCATGTAAATTGAGGGGGCTCTACGAGTTCCCGGCGATAGCGAAGGTTGACGGTTTACCGCCAGCTCGCAGTTCCATTCATGTAAATCGAGGGAGCTCTACGAGTTCCCGGCGGTAGCCAAGGTTGACGGTTTACCGCCAGCTCGCAGTTTTGCATAATTTTGGTTGTCTAGACATCGCTTTCTCGGAATCTGAACATTCGTTAGAGCTCAAATATTCCCCCCCATCTTCGATCTTATTCCCGCTCGCTATCTTTATATCAGGTTGATCGAGTACATATCATTGTCAAAAAGCACTCCGGCGGGATCGGCTGTTTAGTGTCATTTTGACAGATGCTGTCGGTTTTCTTAACCTAACTCGAGCTGCAGATGAACCACAGAGCTGATCGGCACAGCAATCGAAAGGAAACCAGCAAAAGCGCTAGTGTAGAGCATCTAGATGCTTGAACTCGGTCTGCTACCAGAGCTGGGTCTGAAAACATATCCGTGCTTTGATATTTTTTAGAGGTGATGCTGAGTTTCTTGATGTAACTCAAGCTGCAGATGAGCTACAGAGCTGTTTGGCACAGCAAGCGAAAGAGAATCATCCGACGCGCTTAGTCTCAAGTGTCTAGATGCCCGAACTCGGTCTGCTACCAGAGCGGGGCTTCAACAACCATTCGTACTCTATTTTTTTGGTTTAAAAGATGATGATGAGTTTCTTGATGTAACTCGAGCTGCAGATGGGCCACATAGCTGTTTGGCACAGCGACCGAAATTGACATCCTCAGACACGCTAGTCTCGAGTATCTAGATGCCCGAATTCAGTGTGCTACCAGAGCTGGGCCCGAACAACTATTCGTACTCTGCTAATTTTTGAAAGAGATGATGATGACTTTCTTGATATAACTCGAGCTGCAGATGAGCTACAGAGCTGTTCGGCACAGCAATCGGAAGATAATCGCCAGAAGCGCTAGTCTGAAGTATCTAGGTGCCCGAACTCGGTCTGCTTCCAGAGTTGGAACCAAATCAATTATTAGTACTCTGTTATCTTTCAGAAATGACGATGCCTTTCTTGATGTAGCTCGAGCTGCAGATGAGATCAGAGCTGTTCGGCACAGCGATTTGACGAAGATCATCAGGGGCGCTCGTTGCAAGCATGTACATGTTTGAGATCGGTCTGCTTCCAGAGCTGGAACCAACAACTATTCGTACTCCTGCTCCTCGTCCTCTTCCTTCTTCTTCTTCTCCTCCTCATCGTCCTCCTTCATCTGCTCCTTCTCCTTTTTCTCCTCCTGCTCCTTCTCTTCGTCCTTTTCCTCATCTTCCTCCTCCTCATCATCATCATCGTCGCCCCTCTCCTCCCCCTTCCACCCTTCCCCCTCCTGCTCGTCGCCCTCCTCTTTCTCCTCCCCATCCTTCTCCTCCGCCTGCTCCTTCTCCTCCTTCTGCTTCTTTTCCTCAGCCTCCATCTCCTTCTCCTCCTCGCTCCTTCTTCCCCTCCGCGTCTTCCTTCATCAAACCGCGCCTTCGCGCGCGCGGAATGCGAGATTGCCGCGCCCGCATTCCATTCATCGAGGGAGCTCTGCGAGTCCCCGGCGGTAGCCGCGGTTGACGGTGTACCGCCAGCTCCCAGTATAGAACTATTTGCTCTCATCGCATTCAAGATATGCACTGTTTTCTTTATCAAGGTGGGAAGCAACTGTTCGCGAGAGAAGTAGCGCGAGCGCTAGTCTTGTATTGAGACAAACTCGAGCTGTGGGCAAGCAAGAAACTGCGAAGCACATCTCTATGAAACCGTGCCCTTCTTTTTCTCGTCCTGTCTCGTCCTCCTCCTGCTCTTACTTCTCTTCCCCCTCCTTCTGTTCCTCATCCTTCCCCGCTCCATCAGCATTATCCTCATTCACCTTCTCTTTCGCCGCCTCCTCCTTTTCCTCCTCGCTGTTCTCCTCATCCTGTCTCCTCCTCTTTCTCCTCCTTCTCCTGCTTCTCCTCCTGCTCCCCCCTCTCGTCTTCCTCCTCTTCTCCTCTTTATGCTCCTTCCCCGTCGTCCCTATTGTCATGTTTATCTTATCTCCCCTGCCCCTTCTCCTCGTCCACCACCACATCCTGTTTTCATTGTCCTTCTTCTCTTTTCTTCCTTTGTCTCGTCCTTTCCCCCTCATCATTCTGTCCTCCCCCCTGCCTCTTTCTCCTGCTTCCTGCTCCTGCACCTGCTCCTGCTCTTGCTCCTGCCTCTGCTCTTCCTTCTGCTCTTCCTCCTGTTCCTTTCTGCTCCTGGTCCTGCTCCTCCTCCTGCCCCTGCTACCGCTCCTGTTCCTCCCCCTGCACCTCCTCCCCCTCCTCCTCCTCCTCCTTTTCCTCCGCTTCCTTCCCCGCCTCCTTCTCCTGCGCCTCCTCCCCCTTTCCCTCCTACTCCTCCTCCGCCTCTTGCTCCTCCTGCTGCTGCTGCTGCTGCTCCTCCTCCTCCTCCGCGCGCGCGCAGACGCGCGCGCGGATCCGCAGACGCAGCCGGGGTCCACCGAGGCTCCCCGACACGCGCCTGCCCGCCAAAAAAACGCGACTATGCGGCAACTCCAACATCTTGTCACCCGCGCACCGACAACGCTAAACCTAACATAACATTGCAGGAATGCCGACGCGCGGTGGCCGCCGATGCCCGCGCGCCCCGGCGCGCAACGACGATTGTTGCGCTCGCGTGCCATTCGTGTACATCGCAAGGAAGCTCTGCGAGTTCCCAGCGGTGACCAAGGTTGACGGCTTACTGCGCTTCCAGTGCTTCAGATGTTGTTTGGCGAATTTGATGGAAAGCTACCTCCGAACAGTTGCGCCCGATGGGTGCCGACTGTATGGTTTTGTCGTGGGAGATAAATGCTATGGGGTCACCGCCCCGTGGAAAGGTTGGCCAGACATTCTGTGCTATGGGGGAAACCAGACTCACGTTATATCTTGAGTTGTGACGTCAGACAGGCTTTCGACCATTGAACTGTACGCTCTGCTGTGAAGGCACTCTTGGCATTGAACTTTGAGCCAAACATTGTATAAGCACTAATTGAGGGCTTCGCCAATAATGCTGTTACCGTATCCTTCCAGCAGTGTGTAGTTGAACATATCCACTAGGACACATTCGGACGGGCACCATGGGGGCTTCAGTTTTCTGGGTTGCAAAGTCTTCGTGTATGCTCAAGTCTGTTGTGCAGCGGTGGCAGGGGATGAGATGCGGTATTGTTCTCAGTGAGGAAGGATGAGGGATATATGTGAATCATATGTTGTGGGCAGAAAATGTCGTGCTCGTGGCCGAGACGCGGGCGAAGTTCATTGACGTGTTGGAGACGCGGTGGAGATCGCGAAGCACGGATTTCATTGGAAAGCGAGTCCGATGGAGTGTTTTGCGTGCGGAGATGGAAATGGCGCGATCAAGCCGTTGGAGATGCCGTCCTTGATCTTTGAGGTGCCACAGGTATATCAAGAGCCCGATTTCGTCATGCACGTTCGTTGCTGCTTAGTTGCTGCTCCCCGTCGCTTGTGCAGCTTACTTTCTATAAGCAGTGGTGCTTTGCAAACCATTTTGAGTGCGCGGTGTGCGATTTTGACGATGGGACTGAGGTGGTGGGCGAGGGGGCTTTGGCGAACCCTGAGGGGAGAAATATAGATATCTCGTGTGGCACACCGTTGTCAGTGCACCCCTTTTAACCTGGCCGCCCTGATATGATTCGGCCAAACCGACGTCGTGAGATTTTCAGAATGAGGAGACGTGCCGTGGGCCTACCTGACCTCCCTGAATCCAGAGTCCTTCCTGCTCCCAAACGCTCGCGTTGCCTGGGCCGTCGGGGCAGGCCGGCTGCTTCGATGCAGGGCTGCTCGTGCATGTTGCATGCGTCTGGTCTTTGGACGGAGCACAGAGACGAATTCTGCAGATCTTTGGGTTCCCAGAAGGCCAGGGCCATTACGAGGGCTCGCAGTGGGGGAACTACAATGGGGTTAGCGCCGTGGAGGTACTTTTCGAACTCATCGCGGGGCCCCTGTGGACTCGGGATATCATCTGGACTGAACTGGATTGGACAGATTTCTTAAGGAGTACTTTGAGAGAGCTTCAGTTAGGCCATGTCATGGAGCATTGTCATATACGTGATCCTACTTCGGGAAGGTCTCGCAGGGGGGTGGAGGAGGAGGAGATGACGGAGGACCAGCTGCAAAAGGAACTGGATAGGAAAGCGAGAAGATTGACCGCTCTGAATGAAGACGAGACTCGCTGGCGACTCAACCCGGATGGCATCTGCTTCGAAATTCTTCACGCTTCGCGTGTCCCCACCAGCCCATCTCAAAACAGCGACTCTTGCGAAGCATGGCGACAGTCGTGTTTTTCAGGCGTGTGTCCGCTTGCCCCCGCATATCTCCCCTGTTCCTCCTTCCTCCCGCCTCCGTGTACATCCTCCTTGTGGTGGGAGCGGGAAAAGGGCGAGGCGGAGGAGGAGGGAGAGAAAGCGGTGGGAGGCAAGAGGGATTTAGCGGAGACGACGACCACATCGATGATCCTAACAACGACGACGCACCCGACGACGACGACGATATCGACCGGAACGACGACGACGACCACAACCGCGACGACGACGACGACGACGACGACGACGACGACTGGTGGGAGTCGTTGGGGCCCCTCGTGGTGTGAGTCGTTCGGCCCCATCGTCCTTGTGTGAGTCCTTGGGGCCCCTCTTCCTGGTGTGAGTCGTTGGGGCCCCTCGTGGTGTGAGTCGTTCGGCCCCATCGTCCTTGTGTGAGTCCTTGGGGCCCCTCTTCCTGGTGTGAGCCGTTCGGGCTTCTCGTGGTTCGAGTCGTTCGGGCCTCTCGTCCTGGTGTGAGTCGTTCGGGCCCTTCTTCCTGGTGTGAGTCGTTCGGGCTCTTCGTGGTGTGAGTCGTTCGGGCTCTTCGTCCTGGTGTGAGTCGTTCGGGTTTCTCGTGGTGTGAGTTGTTCGGGCCCCTCGTCCTGGTGTGAGTCGTTCGGGCCCCTCCTCCTGGTGTGACTCGTTCGGGCTCCTCGTGGTGTGAGTCGTTCGGGGCCCTCGTCGTGGTGTGAGTCGTTCGGGCTCCTCGTGGTGTGAGTCGTTCGGGCGCCTCGTCCTGGTGTGAGTCGTTCGGGCCCCTCCTTTGGTGTGAGTCGTTCGGGCTCTTCGTGGTGTGAGTCGTTCGGGCCCCTCGTCCTGGTGTGAGTCGTTCGGGCTCCTCGTGGTGTGAGGCGTTCGGGCACCTCGTCCTGGTGCGAGTCGTTCGGGCCCCTCGTAGTAGGAGTAGTAGTAGTAGTAGTAGTAGTAGTAGTAGTAGTAGTAGTAGTAGTAGTAGTAGTAGTAGTAGTAGTAGTAGTAGTAGTAGTAGTAGTAGTAGTAGTAGTAGTAGTAGTAGTAGTAGTAGTAGTAGTAGTAGTAGTAGTAGTAGTAGTAGTAGTAGTAGTAGTAGTAGTAGTAGTAGTAGTAGTAGTAGTAGTAGTAGTAGTAGTAGTAGTAGTAGTAGTAGTAGTAGTAGTAGTAGTAGTAGTAGTAGTAGTAGTAGTAGTAGTAGTAGTAGTAGTAGTAGTAGTAGTAGTAGTAGTAGTAGTAGTAGTAGTAGTAGTAGTAGTAGTAGTAGTAGTAGTAGTAGTTAGTAGTAGTCGTAGTAGTAGTAGTAGTAGTAGAGTAGTAGTGTAGTAGTAGGTAGGTAGGTAGGTAGGTAGGTAGGTAGGTAGGTAGGTAGGTAGGTAGGTAGTAGGTAGTAGGTAGTAGTAGTAGTAGTAGTAGTAGTAGTAGTAGTAGTGTAGTAGTCGTAGTCGTAGTCGTAGTAGTAGTAGTAGTAGTAGTAGTGTAGTAGTAGTAGTAGTAGTAGTAGTAGTAGTAGTAGTAGTAGTAGTAGTAGTAGTAGTAGTAGTAGTAGTAGTAGTAGTAGTAGTAGTAGTAGTAGTAGTAGTAGTAGTAGTAGTAGTAGTAGTAGTAGTAGTAGTAGTAGTAGTAGTAGTAGTAGTAGTAGTAGTAGTAGTAGTAGTAGTAGTAGTAGTAGTAGTAGTAGTAGTAGTAGTAGTAGTAGTAGTAGTAGTAGTAGTAGTAGTAGTAGTAGTAGTAGTAGTAGTAGTAGTAGTCTTTTGGGAGCCGCTTGGAGGCCTTTTGGGGCGTCTTGAGGGCCTCTTGGCGGCCCCAGGGGCTTCTAGGAGTGTCTTGGGTGCCTTGGGGGAGCCTCTTCGGGCCTCTTGGGAGCCTCTTGGAGGCCGTTTGGGGCGTCTTGGGGGCCTCTTGGCGGCTCCAGGGGCTTCCAGGAGCGTCTTGGGTGCCTCGGGGAAGCCTCTTGAGGCCTCTTGGGGGCCTCTTGGGGGCCTATTGGGGGCCTCTTGGGGGCCCCTTGGGGCCTCTTGGGGCTCTTTGGGAGGGGTCTGGGAGATATCTTGGGGCCATCTTCCGGGCGATGGATCACAGATGGGGCGAGCACTTTTCTCCCCCCCCCCCCCGTCGGGGCCAGAATCCTCGTGAGGGGTGTCGAATTTTAGCCCTCCCAGGAGTCGAAAAAGACCCCTCTTACCACCCGCGGGACGCCCTCTCCAGGCCCATGGGGGAGGGGGTGGGGGGAGGGGTAAACCCCTCCCCGAAGGGGAAGAAGGGGGTTGAGAACAGAGCGGGCTCGCTAAACCACTCACGCCCAAAGGGCTGGTGGGATTAGAGGTGGCAGCCTGATTGTGATCAGATGGCTGAGTGGCAGATATCGCTCTCACAACGATATATTTACACATAGGTATGTATGTATGTATGTATGTATGCATGCATGCATGTATGTATGTATGTATGTATGTATGTATGTATGTATGTATGTATGTACATGTGTCTATATTATTATTATTATTCTTATTATTATTATGATTAATATTATTATTGTTATTATTATTACTGTTATTATTACTATTATTATTATTAGTACTATTATTATTATTATCTTTATTATTATTATTATCATCATTATTAATATTATTATTATTATTATATATATGCGCACCATCAAGAGCATGCACAGCTGCCTCTATGGTATGAGCACACATATCGATATTTTGAGTCCTGAATTGGGAAGGGATCTCTTTGGAAGTGGGTGTATCGGGAGGGGAACGAGGAGGCATGTGCTGAGGCCGTGAAGGAGGTACGACTTTTGAGTTGCGGTGGGATCATCGTTCTCTTTACTTATTGAGCTCGGGTTCGATGTATGTACGTGCTGTGAGAGGCTCTTCTGATGGCGGTAAGTGTGATGTAGGTGTTTCATGTGGCTGGGTGATTGATGTTTCTATGGTTATCCCTACTCCTTTTTCCTTCTCCCCTCCCCCTGGACTCCAGGACTGTCGGTGGCAGAGTGGAGTCGGCAGCCGCGCGTTTATGATCGCGTCTCATTGTGCAATCATGCAGGCTGAGTTAGCATCCACTGAAAGTGTTTCTTTTCGGACATCTATGGGAATGCGGACGCTCTGCTTCGCCTAGGATTTTCTAGCGAAGTCCGGCGCCGCCGAAGCCGCTGATATCCTCGGCCAGAGGCTCATGGCTTGCGAGAAGTTCTTGGCCAACGGGGGGCCGTGGCAGAAGGCGCAGTGCTGCGAGCTGGCCCCGCAGGGCGCGAGCGCCCACATGTACCTGGACATAGGGCACGAGGCCTCCAAGGAGGTCGGCCTGCAGCAGACGATCTCCAGGGGCTCGGGCGGAAAAAGGCTGGGGCGAGTACTCCGGCGGCAAGGGCCAGGGCGGCCCGCCTTCGCGAGTGCGCGGGCAAGAACAAGGAGAAGGAAAAGGGCAAACGCGAGGGCGACGAGGGCGACTGGACCTCGAGGAGCGACGCGGACGGGGAAGGGGGCAAGTGGACATGAACCGCCCTCGTGACGGCCGCCCTGAGGCGTCGCTTGATGTGGGCACCTGGCAGCGGGCGCTTGGAGAGGGCCTGCGGTGTACCGCGACTGTGGGGGGCGCCCTTGCAGTTCTCCGCGGATGTGTCCGAGCCCTCCCGTCTCGGCCGGGCCTTTTCTGCGAGAGTCTCCAGGGTGCGCCGAGCTGGCGCCTTTCGGGCGCTTCGTCCATTGGAAGGTCATTTTCCTTTTAAGTCCCAGCCTTGCGGCCGGATGCGCAGCCGGCTGGGCTGGCGTCTTTCTTTGGGGCGGCGCGGAGCTGCGGTGCGCCTCGCCAGCGTCGTTCCGGATGTCGTGGGGCTGATGGTAGTCGCCTTGAACTTCTTAGTCTCCGCCGTCTGGGGCGAGGTCCAGGCTGCCGGTCAGATTGGCAAGAAACTCGACAAGGCCGAGTCGCAGGCTGGCTCGCATCTTTTCGACGTTGCGGAGCAGGTCGTCGCCTGGGACGGCCCGCCGACAGGCGTCGACGCTGCCGTCGACGAGCTTCGGAGCTGCAAGGTGGATTATCAGGGGATTGCCGTGTCCTGACTCAGGCCCCTTGAGGCCGAGCGTGCCCTCCCGGCGTGGCCCGCGGAAGGGAAGGCAGCGGTCGTCCCCGTCATTTCCCTCCTGCACGGGGAGCTGCGGGGGGACCTCCAGGACCCCTGGGGGCGCCTGAGGCCGTGAGAGGAGTGGCCCTCGACCCTTCCGTGGTCCAAGGTCCTTGCCA